GGACTGGCGATGTACTAGCGGAGGAGGCAGCAATTAATGCATGAGAGGTAGCATCACCGGCCGCAGATGGTTGTGCCTTAAGGTTCGACCGACTATGTTGGAGGTTGTTTGTTGGGGTGAGAGGAGGAAGAAAGCCTCTCAGCCGATGGATCACGATCGGATGGTACAAAAAAGTGACTGGAGCCAAAGAAAAAGAAGAGAAATCAGTCCACTTACAAATATTCGGCCCGAATTACAAGTGTCTATCTTTTTGCCTTTTGCCACCATGATATCTCTAAGAAAATGATTTTTCAATGGCAAAGTGATGGTGAAAATTAATAATGTCCGGTTCTGTCATTCGTCATCCAAAAGAGCAATATAGCTTAGAGATCCAAAATCTAAATAACAAAAAACATTGTGTCCTTAATTAAATAGTTGTTCAAACTTCTACTAAGAAACAAGCATACCAAATCAACAACATAATAAATATGTGGGATCCAATGACATCCTTCACGTATAATGGAAACACGTGAATTCACACTTTTAGACCAGATCAGTGAAGGTGAAGCAAAATTTTCTTTAGTTTTGAAACCTTAGCTATCGAAGGTAGCTCGATTTTAAAACGAAGACTGGCTTAGTTGGAGAATGCCTCCCAGCGTGCCCTATGTCATTTTGTTTTTCATATTGTGTGCTATAAATACATCACGGTTGCAGAATTCTGTATCTCATTGCTGCCAAATGTGATTTCTGAGGGGATTTAGTAGATCGTTGACCGGTAGCACGGAGCGTTGTACTAGAATGACTAGTAAAATGCCCGTGCGTTGCCACGGGCCTTTTAATTTGTTTTATTGCATCCATAAATACAAATACATATCTCTCTCGCTTTCCCCACTCTATATACCACCCTCCATATCTCTCCCACCCATGCTCTCTCTCTCTCTCTCACACACACACACACACACACCCTCTTCCTCTTCCACCACTCAATTTAATTTGGGCTCAACTTAACTTTAGCTTCGTGTTAACATTCTTGGCTATAGTATATCCTAGTAGCTTAAACATTAAAAGAAAAACTTAACTTTTACACGGGATCTAGTTATATTGCCCGTGCGTCGCAACGGGAGCACACATATTTTGACGGTTCAACACCAATCGTGTCTAATATATAATTTTTACAAGCTCCATGCACATATGTGTCGTTGTATACATACTTTACCATTACATCACTCTGACAATGACACATCAAACAAATAATTAATGTCGCCTCCAAGTTCGAAGTTCATTTGTCTCTCGTACGTTCGAGCATGTTCAGACATCAAATGGGTGCCTAGCAGGCTCCCCAAAATCCAAGCATCTAGATGGTCCGGACTCTGCTAAATCCAACCCATATGTTGGTGAGAAATATGAAAGTCCAAACCAGATGACACCAGCTCACCTTTGTCATGGCACCCTCTATTCTTCACACCGTACTTCCACCATGGACCGCCAAGGTGGAGTCCCCGGCCATCGTTATTAGGCGAGGAGGCGTGCGCCGCCTGTGACACCCTCCGAGCCAAGAAGGCATATCCGATGTCTTCCGAGCCATTGTCACGTTGTAACATATAGTTGAATGTCATGCATTACCACAAAATAAAAATAATGATGTCCATGCAACTGATACGCAATGATGTCCATTATTAACTCTTGAATCAACCTACCTATGCATTTACCTTTCTATCCAAAGAAAAAAATTGTACGACTTGATGAAAAATATATAAAAACCTCTCGATCATGCAATTTACAGCAAAGCCATCTCTGATGAAATGCAATTTGCCACATTTTCTAAAATAGAAAAATTATTCTTCTCAGAACTGTAACTGAAGAGACAAACTCTAACCTTCTCCCCGCTCACTCTCAACCCTTACTCTTATCACAACAATCGACTAACTCGTTCTAAGTGAACCAGTGGTTCTAGGTCCAGGTCTAGTGTTGCTCGAAGATCACTTTCCTTCTCATCCAGAGCAACAACTTCAGCTTTGTTTTCACATGATCTCTTTATAGCATAGGTCAGGGCACTTGGTTCTCTACAAACATAGAATTTGAATTAGACATCACCGATGCATGTAAAACATTAATGGGAGAAGGCTATTCCGTGCTTGCAACAAATAAAGGTTAGTAGTTGTGCTGCTAGAACAACTCTCGCTGCTAGCATGAATAGTAGAAGAATGGAATGGTTATATGGCTCTATGTAAATCCACCTATGGAAACAGGACAACAAAGCAAACCATGGAGAGCTAAGAATGACATGTACATCAAATAACATTTATAAATTAGCTGTGGAACATAGTACGTTTTGTCGGTTTGTTCTGTCAAACTACTCAATGTGACATTTCAGACAATGCATTTAAGAAATTTTAAACATGAGTAACAAAGACAACTACCAAAGAACAATTAATGCGTGCAAAAAGGAAGATAATATCACAAGTGTTTAGAAATCACTACCCCACAAATTTCACAAGGCCATTAAGAGGAAAGTTGAAAGAAAGGAAAAAGATCAGTTTGATTTACTACATTTACCAATAACTACAGATATTCTATAACATTTGAGGCTACAACTATGAATTTAGGCACTTATTTTCTTCTAATACTGGAAAGCAAACTATACCATTCTCAATTATGCTTTCCATCTATATTTCATAGCATTTACAAGCACATAATGATAAGGAATTCCCATCAGCTCCAAATTGCAATAAGCTAATATCAGTTTTTAATCTTGGTCTACCATATTTTTGTATTCTCTCAAGTTAAAAAAACATGGGTTGATGCTCACAAGTTTTTGAATTAAAAAAGCATGTAAGAGATCAGTTAGCCCACTCCTCTGGTGAAATTAGCATGAAAAATGATCATATCCAAATCAATTCTCTTTAATGAGAAATGAAAACGACCCAGTGCATGTCCCAAAAGAACAATTATATGGCGACTTGCAAAATAACATGCGCCACAGAATAATTTACTTAATAATTAAGCATACAAGTCGTCATGGCATCAAACAGAAGACAAGGAAGATTAGTAGCTGATCTGCTCAGTACAATTACACTAACAAACAGGTAGCAACATCAAGGTATTTTAGCATTATTCCATTGTTACCTGTACAATATAGTGATAAATGTGTGGAGAGGTGTCATTTTGGTTGGCACCTTGAAGAAGGCATTGCTCTTGACCTGGGGCTGTAGGCGTGGCACTCATGGACTAAAAGAAACAAGAAGCCCATTTTGAAAACACAATTATTAAAAGGCCAATTGATTGATTCATAGACGCAAATGTCAGCTGTACCTTGTCAAACTGTAGGAGGATGCTGAAGGCGAACTCAGGTTGAGCACACCATCTCCTCCAGTGTCTCCGTGAGGGACCTGCCAAATCGAAATTCTTGATGTATCTCTAACCACCAGAATTCAACAGAAGTTGTGATTCAGATTCATCAGCATCAAACTGAGTGGTCGATTATTTGACAGAAGCTATGTACAATTATTATTCTACAGTAAACAATCCCCGGTCCAATACGATCATGCCAGAGTCATAAAATGACTGTATTGACCAAATAACAATCGCGCGGTGCCTCTAAACGGAGGTGCTAAGCAGGTCTCGAACATGAGAAGATATCAAGCAACATGTGAGCCTCTAGACGGAAATGCCAAGTAGCATCCTTGGACATCATGTATGCATTTTCTATGGAAGCTACTACCTATGTATCAAAATATAAGACGTTTTTGTAGTTCAATTTGAACTGCAAAAACATCTTATATTTGGTAAGGAGGGAGTACTAAACTCAGTGGTCCAGTTATGACAAAAGATTAGATAAGGATTGTTACCAGATCAACATTTCCTTCATTTAGGCGAGCAACTATGTGCCGTACCATCTTGGCCAGAACACTGCCATGCGACTGGGGCAGCTCATGTTACCAACTATAATTGCTGCCTTGACACACTTTTCTTCGAAGGTTGCACCTACCCATTGTCACTGAATGCAAAAACAAAGAGTAGCTCGCTAAAGTGCTCAAATAAATCATTTTTCAATAAATGAGAATTAAACATAGAAATGGTTGATGACAAATAAAATACTGTAGGCGACTGGTGGAGCATGAAAAGGCGTGCTTCCGTGTCATGTTGTAATGCCAAAAAAAGGTCTGATTCCAAATTTCATTCTTGGTCACCAAAGATTATCGTGTTGATGAGTACAAAAAATAGATCTCGGATCTCAGGGTCAGCTTTATCAGTTGCTTAACATGTTAGTGAAACATTATAGTTGAATAGAAACGGCTACTTAGTATGTACTGTGCAAGCATATTCAGTCAAACTAACATATATATGTTCAACAATGATGATTAAAAGATACTACCTGCCAATTGGATAAAGATCCAAGGCACCAGAAAAAGTTGACCAACCTATGAGCGAAAAACC